CAAACACAAGTCTAACTTAGTTTCACACCCTTTTTTTCTTAGAAACAATCAAGGCATACATGCTTAAATTTATACAAAATGCCAGAAATCTGCAGTCATGAACACATTTTTCACCAACATCTCAAAAACTATTAAAGATTAAAGGTGAGTGGATGGAATGGTCGCTATATTAAACAGTTTAAAGGTAATGTTTGAAAAGCACATGTCAACTCAGAGTGTAATGAAATAAACAAAACCTTAAATAAACACTGCATTCTCGATGGATTATAACTGACTTAGTGCAGGCAATCGTTGCCAGTACGATTGTTTATTATGTTATTATGTACTCTATGTGTTAATGTGTTGCATCATCTGTTATAGGTTTCCCGTTCATTTTCAGTTGTGTTAAATACATAAATAAAAAATACAGTGAAACAATAAAACTGGGGTTTCTGACAGTATTCATCTTTGCTGAAGCTCCACATAACTGCACTGGACCACACCCACACATACAGATGTCACATTGCATATGGACAAAAATCAAGCCATGCAGTCACAGCTAAACCTCAATCTCCTCTGTATCTCATTGTAAATGTGTATAGTGAAAATAAAATGCATGCTGTTCTATCTGTAAACCTTAATAATATGGTCTGGGTGTTCTCTGAATGTTCCAAGAACCAATAAACAGAAAATAGTTTGAACTGGCCCTCATCTTTCAAGATGGAGTGGCACATTCCTTCTATGTCTGATTTCCTTCAAACCTTGACTTTTAGTCAACAACAATCCATATACTGCCATGCCTCTGCTTCTCTTTGCAAATAAACAAGTTTACCTCAAGCTGAAGTGGAGAAAGTGATGATGGTATACGAAAGACGCCTGCATGAAAACAGGAGGAGATGTGATGAAAGAAAATGAATCAATAGTGTCACAAGTCAGAGATTATCTATATTTTTAATACATGAATCTGTTTGTGTTCTACAAACAGATTTAGAAAACATGATGAAGCTCCAGCTGTCTTAGAAAAAGTACTAATAGTAATCATATAACTCTTTGTACATTATTATTATTATTATTATTATTATTATTATTATTATTATTATTGTTGTTGTTGTTGTTGTTGTTGTTGTTGTTGTTGTTGTTGTTGGATTCTCCTTGGACCCCCAAAAGCAGTTCATGGTAATGGGAGGGGTCTAGAGGTCTTGGAGTCCAAATGGCTGGGGCTCAAAGGATGGTTCCTCGGGTTTGTGATGATCATTTGACATAAACTGACTGGACTGACCAACTCAGCTACAAGAAAACAAAAAGGTCATCTATGTTAATCATGACATAATCAGAGAAATTAAGGGTTTAAATCTCAACACATGTACAGATCATAGTAAAGAACAACTTTGCATGTTCTCGGCTGTGAACAAAGTTTTGTGATAAATGAATGCAATCTATAATATTTGTGAATCATGAACACATTGCCATTAAGCTTGCATAGAGTTTCAGTGATGTTTAATAATGAATTCGTGTTCAGCACTTAGGTTTTCATATTTGTATTTCAGTTAAATATCACTCTATTGAAAATAAAACAGCTAAAGTCAGGTGAGAAACCTCAAGCCTGCTTATTGTATGCACAAAATTTAGATTTCTCACCCATAACATACATCTGGACACCTGTATAGACGGCAATACTAAAGTAAATCTCACATAATGCACTCGCATAAATATGATATATTTATTTAGATCAGTATCTCGCAGTAGCCATAACTTATTTTGCACACTATGCGTACAAGATCAAATTTGGCCACATCTCCCTAATCTCCCTCAACATTAGTTAAAAATAATTTGTTCATTAGATGTACAGTTTTCACAGCACTTGTAGAAAAAGCTCCTGGTAGCGCTCACACGTGAAAACCAACTTGATTGTTGGCTTCTGCTCTTATACCTGCCCCCTCAACACGTAACCCTTAGCACCTTGACTGTCACCCAAGCGAGGTGAAGGGATAAACATGTCGGCTTTATTTATTCAGAATAAGTTTCCCATAGTTATCATATTTAAAAAAAAAAAAAAAATCTCATTTAGTTTCACAGTTTCGATAAGTATTTTAATAATTGTAATATTGTAATATGTAATGTATTGTAATCATCGATTCATCACAAAATATTTAAAGAAAATAAATCATCTTCATGCGGAAAAAATAAATAAAATAAACATGAATATATAAACAAACAAAAAAAAATCCGTGTACAATAAAGTTGGTGTACTGTGAAATATTGTCCGAGCGTTTAACTGCGCCTTTGATAAAAACGTTTCGCCCTTTTTCCGTTGTAGTACAGAATGAAATTTACCTGAAATGTATTACAAACGCCTGTTTATAGTGATTTATGCCCAACTTTTAACTTTAAACTATTTTACAAACGCAAATTTCAAATTTGAATAAATAGCTATCCGTTACGCTTTTAAATTAGCCTATGAAGGTTAGAATTTAAACTAAATAATCTGCTGCATTTATCATTTTTTATTGAAAATATCTCTCCGTAAATGTTGTAAAGTCAAATAAAACTGGCAAATTAAAGTAAATCTCTACACCGCACCAGCCTTTTTTTACACAGTATAGCCCCATAAAATCGATACAGCTGTGACATTAACCAAAAACACCGAGATGTACCAGAATCCTCTTGCTATACCATGACCTGGTTACAGGGTCCAAGGAGCTTCCTTATATTGCATTCAGGGGATTCATTGACCCCAGACCCACTGCAGCTGACGACACCTTTCAACCACGTGCTGCAGAGTCTGAGGGAGAACACCATTCCACCTCCTCACTCACCAGCTGGTATGATGGTGCTGCCTGCTGGGTCAAGCCTCCATTCTCAGGGCAGTGGAATCAGGACACCGGTTCCCCTCAGATAATGCCACTGCTGATAGAAGCAGCAGGATGAATTCATAAGTGCGCAGTGCAGTACAATAAGCTCTCCTCAAATTTGGCTGACGTCGGTTGATTGGACTGCTTTTAACAGTGGAACTCCATAAGGACTCAAAATGTGCTGCCAAAACAACTCAAAATTATGTTCGTAATTTTTTTTTTTTTTTTATCGCAGAGCTCCTCCTTTCCTTTGGAAGACTTTCATTACCTACTGCATGAATTTGGATGTCAGTGGGACAGTGGTGGTGCAGGCAAACTCTGCTTACACCTGCAAACATTTAATAATTACAAAGTAAAATGTGAAAAACAGTGTTCTGTGCACCCCAACAATATGATATAGGATAAGGTTGGGCGAATGGACGAATATATCGACCACCGACGATAGTCTGAGGCTTTCACCGATCATTTTTACAAGAGCGATTTATTTATTTGCCCATGAGTACGTTTGGTAATAATGTTGGTGGAAGCTAAGAGAAGCAGTCAACAGAAAAAAATAATAAGGTTGTTTTAACGGCACCCTCTTCCAGCTGCGAACAAATTTATTCATTCATTTACTCAAACTCATAACAGCCACTGGAAGCGTCACCAATAAATGGACTTGTGCCTGCCCAGCTTTCAAGCTTGGAGATGCTTTACAAAAAACATGTCCTGTAATAACACATAAAGCAAACCTGTGGCTATAAAATGTAAAATGTAAAACAAGCCCAATCTTAGTTTTACAGTACTAACTATTCTAAAACATGACAATAATAACTGATTCATGACATGTCAAACTCAGGACTTGGTGTGGGTCTGACGACCATCACAGTATTTATTTACAGACTGATGAAAGAGTAAATGAGTTTATTCACCTTTGTTCACTCATGTCTGGTTTATTTAGGATAGCCCTGGTCACAAGTTGTTAAATGTAAGAATGATACACAAGTCCCATTTCTTTTCACTGTGTAATGCTTTTAAAGC